GGGAGATTTCCCCCACACAAGGTTAGACAAGTTACTTACCTCGACTTGCTCCAATTTAACCAACTAGTATGATTTTTCCTCGATTTTCCGACTCCGTTGGACTCGAATCTAGTCATAATTAATTCGATACAGTCAACAAAAATCATAAGAATCAATTTCATAAGAAAATACTACATTTTTCAATAAAATTCGAAACTAGCTCAAAAATCGCCCGTGGGGCCCACGTCTTGGAATTCGGCACAACTCACAAAATCCGACAACCCATTCAATTACGAGTCCAACCATACCAGTTTCACTCAAATCCGACTCTGAATCGACACCGAAATCTCAAAAATTCGTTTCTACGAGATTTCTAAATGTTTCTCAAAATTTCAATCTCAAAGCATTAATTAAATGGTGAAAACAATGATATATTCGTGTATATTGACCAAATCCGAGTTAGAATCACTTACCTCAATGTTTTTCCTTGAAAATATATCAAAATCGCCTCTCCTCAAACTCCAATTCGTTAAAAATGGCAAATGGGACAAAGTCCCTTGTTTTATAACTTACAAATATTTCCAGGCTGCCTTCGATCCTGGACCTCGATCATGTACCTCGGTCATGGACCCCGATTTTGACAGATAAAGGAAAAACCAGATCAGCCAAAAAAACCAGCAAACTCAACTTCAACAGTCTCCCAACTTCAATTCTTGATCAGTTAACCATCTGAAACTCACCCGAAGCCTTCGGGGCCTCAACCAAATACACCAACAAGTCCTAAAATATCATACGAACTTATATGAAACCTCGAATCACATCAAACAACTCTAAAATCACACCCCAATTCAAGCTTAATGAAACTTAAGAATTTCCAACTTCTACATTCGATGTCGAAACCTATCAAATCAAGTCCGATTGATCTCAAATTTTGCACACAAGTCATAAATGACATAACGGAGCTATGAAAATTTTTGGAACTGGATTCCGACCCCGATATCAAAAAGTCAACTCCCCGGTCAAACTTCCAAACTTAAATTCCTATTTTAGCCATTTCAAGCCTATTTTCATTATGGACTTCCAAATAAACTTCTGATCACGCTCCTAAGTCCAAAATCACCATACGGAGCTGTTGGAATCATCAAAATTCTATTCCGGGGTCATTTGCACATAATTCGACATCCGGTCACTATTTGACTTAAGCTTTTAAAACCTTTAAGTTTTCATCAAAAATCCATATCTCGGGCTAGGGACCTCGGAATTTGGTTCCAGGCATACGCCCAAGTCCCAAATCACGATACGGACCTACTGAAACTGTCAAAACGTTGATCCGAGTCCATTTGCTCAAAATGTTGACCAAAGTCAACTCAGTTGAGTTTTAAAGCTCTAATTCACATTTTAATCCATTTTTCACATAAAAAATTTTCAGAAAATTTTATGGACTGTGCATGCAAGTCGAGTAATAATAAATAGTGCTTTTCGAGGTCTTAGAATACAGAATTAATTATTAACTTTAAAGATGACATTTTGGGTCATCACATGTACACTCTAGGAAATATGCCTACTCGCTTAGTTGCTTGTCATAATATTTTGTTAAAGGCAAATAAAATTAGATTGAAAGTTTGGGTTTGCACGATCTTGCTTCATTTGCATTTGATACTTGGATAATTTATAAATGCTTACGATAATATAAAGTTTTCGGAAACCTTGTTCATTACTCTTTGGATGTCTCTAGATGTCACCATCCTGCTGCAACTTATCTTGCAAAGAAATTTAGACTTCTTCATCCAATTTCTATGTTTCACAAGAAGGCTACATATATCTTTTATTGGAGAATCTGTTTTTTTTTTCTTACTATTTGATCATGCACTTGTATGTCTAAACTATTTGATTATGCACTTTTCTACATTTGTTGTTACATGAGAAATGTACACATTAATTGTGGATTTCTCAGGCTGAATAATACCAAGTTTGCTTTACTAAATCACACAACTGTCTTGTGTGTACCTGATACTGTTTCTCCGGGGTTTTCTATACACATCAAATTTAAGTAGGGCCTCAAATGTCCATGAAAATGTTAACAATATTTTATTCTTAAGTTGATCACTTGGGGAAGACTTTGTCAATTAGACTTGAATAAGATATTTGCGGGGTGGGACTCATTTTCCTAATAGTAACTAAACTTGGTGCATGTGTAAAGAATTTTTGTTTTCTACCACTTCTACGTTTGTCAAAAGATTGCACTTGTTGGTTAAGACTTGGGAGCCTGTTCTGCCGTTGGAAAACTGTGAATGTGCTAGCACACTAAAAATTAGTTTACAAACTCTGATTGAACCGAGAGTAACTCGTTGTAAAAGAGGATATTGACTACAATAAATTGGTTCTGGTGAATTAAAAATGTATTGTTCACCGTTCATAAGTTACCCTATTGTGATAATCTTTTACTTTCCCCAGTTGTTAGATTATCAGCTCAGCATGATTTCTTTGATGCTTCAGGATTCAACTGAATCTCAAAAGAAAGTAATTGTTGCTGTAAAGCAAGGGAATCTACTTGCTACTGCTTTTCATCCCGAATTAACTGCAGACACTCGATGGTAAGTGTCCTCTGTAACTAACATGAATGGTTATACACTACTTAATTTTATCAGATATCCCTGAAGGGCCACAGTATCTACTGCCATCTTATATCATAACTTTCTTTTGCAGGCACAGTTATTTCTTGAAGATGTTGCCTGAAATTGGAGAAGGAACTTCTGCTATTATTTCCACATCCACCACAGATCAAAGCTTCACAGAGCGATCAATAATTGATTTTCCCATATACCAATAGCAGGAAAAAAAATCTGAAAGAAATGAAAATCTTATAGAAAGGTTGAATGACTGCTCGTTGCCATTGTTCTCTTAATTTATGTGTTTTCCTTTATTCTTGCTTTATTACCAATCTTGCATCCTAAATGCTGTCCATACTGGACAGAAAATATCATTGATGCTATTCATTGTTGTTCATAATAGTACAGGATTATCTTTTGGTTTGCCTCCAGGATCTTAATCAGAAAGCAGTTTTTATGCACTAAAACTTTTCTAGCAAATTCCTGCAGTTTTCCCATTATCCAAGCGCAATGATAAGAACATCGTTGATATGGATAATGAATTGATTACAATTGACTAGTTTGAGTTAGTAAATGGTTATACTTGTTTACGCATTTTATAGATTCAACTCCTGCGTTGTAAACGTTATTATTAGTATTTTGTTTTTACAGTTGATAACATTTTTCATCCTGAGTTTCAAGATTGGAATTGGGTGGCTTTCTAAGCAGGGAAAAGAAGACCAACTAACTCTTTTGTCCAATTTGTATGGAGTACTGTTCGATTCTATTACGTACGTACAAATGGCCAAGTTGCCCATTCTGAGATCGTTGATCCAACTGTTATTTTTTCAAATTACGGTAGTGTTCTGATTAACTTGTATGCAAAGACTATTTTACCAAGTATTTGTTACTTTTTAGCAACTCGAGTCAAGTAACTTGCTTATCAAAACTTAGATGATCTACGACCACTCTCTCACTCATGACACACATGCTATATATGATGCTGACAGAGGCGTATCCAAAATTTTAAGAATATAGGTACACTATATCATCGTTTGGTTTGACTCCATCAAAATTTTGCCAGTACAACTTATTGAGCAAACCATGATTAGTACTATTATTACAAGAAAATATCATTCAGTTCACGATTGTTCTTAATAAATTTTCATACTTTAAAAGTGATCAATAATAGCACCATTATTTTTAGAAAAGCTACTTCATAAATTAAAAAAAAAACACCCAAAGGAAAATATAGAAGAGAGAAATGATTAAAAAAACATTGGTTAGAGGGTGACCATTGTTCATAAAAATATTGAGACAAAAAGAGGGGTAAGGAGAAGATGCGAATTTTGATATTTTTTTTTAGGGATTTTAAAACTCAAGAATGAACCAAAAAAGAAAAGGAAAAAAGAGTAAACATAAAATGTAAAGGGAAACAGAAAGGGAGATAAAATTAGACGACAGAGATCAAACCCTTAACCTGGACAATCAAGGGGGCACACAACAACCGATGGACGAAAGTAGTGTCTAGTGCATGGGTTCAACCAAATATATTAAGTATTTTACCACAAGAATTATAGTGTTATACACAATCTAGGGACATGAGCATGGGTTCGCGTGAACCCATACACCTTCATGTAAATCCACCCCTGGATGCACCCTAATCTAGATAACCACTCTAGACTACTTATCTTGTTTATGATCTTCTTACGGCCATCACGTTATTTTATATTTAACCATGCTATTTATGCTAAAGATAGCCCTTCATAGATCTCTACGACCTACCTCTACGAACAGCTTTAGACTGGTGTATTGATAGTAGTTGCTACCTATACCGCTGATGATCGCTTAACTAAACCTATCTATATGTATATGCTTAGAACACACCTCCTCACCCGACAGATGAAAAAAAAATCACATGATTTTTAGGGCGAAGTGAAGCAATAGCCAGTTTAAGCCCGTTACTTAAAATATATCCACAATTTACAATGTATTTAAAGATTAGCCAATTCACCCAAACTTCAGGACTAAGTATCCTAAATTTGAAAATTCAGGACTCTAAGTACTGAATTTTTGAGCTGCTAATTTAAAATTCAGGACTAAGCGTCCTGAATTTGTGAACTACTAATTTAAAATTCAGGACATAAGATTCGAACTTTTGGACACAATTTTTGAACTTTAGGATACAATGTCCTGAAGTTTGAACTTTGAGGTTTGAACTCTAGGACACTATATCCTGAAATTTGAGCGAAAATTAGCTAATCTTTAAATACATTATAAACTGAAAATATATTTTAAACAACATACTTAAAAGCGACTACGTAGTCACATTTAAGCCCACATTTTACAACTCTAGCAATTAGTACTCACGTGGGTGGAAGTATAGAGGGAAGTTTTTTAATTTAAGAAAGAAGTTGAAAGCAAGCAAATCATTAATCGGTAGAGTGAGCAGCACGAAGGCCAAAGTTGGAGTGCACAAACCATGTTACTAATTTTACAAGCATTAAGCTGCTGACTTTGGTAGTTTTTTTAGGATCTGAAGCACAGCCTTCTCAGATCTCAAAACTAATCTTTAAGTAATATTTTCTTCTAATTATTTAATTCAGTTTTAAAACTTAATATTAATTTTCATAAATAGGTTCATTAATTCTTCAATAAGTACAGTCCTACTACTACTTAGATTTTTGAGATCCAATGCTGTAAAAATAATATTTGATGCTGCGTGATTTGTAATACAATAATCTGCCTTTGACTTTCGTCCATGTGAAGCTATGTTGCATTTATTTTTCTCCTTTTGACATTCAAGAAAATTTCTTGATAATTTAGGTTATCTATTTTTTTTTCCAACAGAGTAAACTTTGTTTTTCTTTTAAATGTTTTCCCAGTTAGAAACTACTATTCGATATGTGGTTGGCTGGAAATGCTTGAAGCTTTAGGGTGTGTTCGGTACGAAGGAAACTATTATCTGAAAAATATTTTTCAATTTTTTTATGTTTGGTTGGCTTAAATATAATGGAAAATATTTTTCGCATGAACTCATTTTCCTTGAATCAGAGGAAAATGACTTCCCTACAAAAAGGAAGAGAAAACATATTCCAAAACTCTTTTTTAATATTCCCCACCCTATTTCCCACCTCCACCCCC